CCACCCCGGCCCACAACAGCCCGCCGGGCGGCGCGGGGCCTTATTTCCAGATCAATTGAGAATTGAATAGCGCGCGCTGCGGACGCAGTGAGTTTCGCCTTATTCGCAGGGCGGTGTGGGGCGGGGCAGGGCGGGGACCGGCGGCGGCGGCGGCCTGCCCGCGACAGAGCTTGTAACGATCAATCAGCGGCCAAGGCAGCGCGGGCCGCGGCTCTTTGAGGGTGGAGCGGGCACGGCGCGGCCCGGCGGGCGGACCTCGGCGGCCAGCAACTCTTTATGTCCTACCTGAGGGAGTCCCGGCCACACCGCCACACCACCTACTTACACTTCATAGACAGGGGTTGCTCCACCCAGACAGATTATTACCTTTGGTTACCAGCGTATGGTTGTCTCGGGGGCACCATAAAACCCGATTGATACCACACTCTTTTGGATTTTGAGAACGAAAAATATTGTTTTTACCGCAGGATATGTGTGCGATGCTTTCTGTGTCCCCGAAAAATCATAAGATGTGGCATGGTTGGCTCACAACCATACGTTGGTTGCCATGGCTTGTGATTTTTTCGGGGACGCAGATATAGCACCGCACACCTATCCTGTACCCAGCGGTTGCTTAATCAAAGACTGGTAAAAATCCCATTCGCCTTGTCCACGCTAGCCGACGTCGAGGTTCACGAGAAGGAGGAAAGGCGCGGCGGCGGCGGCGTGGGGGCGCTAGCAGCCCGCCCCAGCCCCGCCCGGGGGCGCCAGCGTGTGCGGCTGACGAGGAGACCTGGGGCGTGTGCGTCTTGGAGCGGGCGCGTCCCGATGCCGCCCCGCCGAGGAAGCCCGGCAGGCCACGCCACGCCACGACGCGAGACCCCCCGACAGGACCCCGCCCCGCCGCGCCACGCCACGCTGCTGCTGTTGGCCTCTACTCGCGCTCAGCTGTCACCCGCAGTCGCACCACAGGCGGGGCGCGGCAGGGCGTGGCGTGGCGGAGCGCGGCGGGGCGGGTCGGAGCTGCAGCCAACAGCTTCAAGAGCGGAAGTAAATCTCACTCATACAGCCCGTCGCCGGCGGGCCCGGCTGGTCAGCCCGCGGCGATAAAAACTCCGGCCCTTGATTAGTTGCAGCGGGGGGCCGGGCCCGACACCCGACACGCGCGCCCCGCGGTCGATACTGCATCGTCTTGTCTCAAGTCCCGAAGTTAATTATTCGGCGCCGAAGGCCCCCCCCCCTCCCGATCGTAACGACGCCCGACTGGAACAACTTGCAGGCACGCGCCTGCGCGCCCGCCCGAAAGGTTAAGCGAGTCAGGACTGAATGTTGCAGGGCGTGTGTGACACGAGCCAGGCGACACACTCCCACGCCGGGCGCCCCCCGCGTCTGTCGGGTCCGTCACCGCCCGTCACAGCTCGTCACGGGCGAGGCGTGGCACAGCCTGGCGCTGCGGCGCGGTTGGCGCCGGGGCCGTGCGCAGATGGCGCGCGTGCTGCTCCGTGCTCTCGGCCAAACATTTTGACTTTAAAATGGGGATACAATTCTAACGAGGTCTTGTAATGGCAGTTTGATGAGGATCCAATCGGGCAGGACTTCGATAACCCAAACCCTCCCCGCCCGGACCGCCACATGGCGTTCCCCCTCCCCCCTCTTCACCTCTTGCCCCGTTGCCCGCTTTTAGCCATGCAGATTTTTTTCGTTCGAAGCAAAAGGATAGAAAGTAAAGGCAAATTGCAAACTAAATATGTAGATGGAAAGGAAAGCAAGCAGCTTGCGGCATCTAGTGCAACTGGATGAGCAGCGCTCACCACCTTCACTCACTCGACCAACACACACATTTACACACTCACTCATTCGCTAACTCGCTCGCACGCTTACTCACTCATTCACTCGTTGATTCGCTCGCTTACTCACTCACTCACACTCTGTAGTCCCGGCCCGTGTCTGCCCGACGCGCACGCGACGGTCCTGGTCCTCCTCTCACCTGACAGCCGGCGCCGGCGCGGCGCTGCTCCTCGCAGCTCCAGCTGGACGGTGGCCTCCGCGGCCTCCACGAGTCGTCCTCGGCGG